GGCCTGACAGCCCACCCCGCGCAGGAACGTGGGGCATTCGCCATCGCGGGCCCATCGCCGATCCCTCGGCGATGTATCGCCGAGTCCACGCCGATGTTCCCCCCCCCCCGAGCTGGGCCCCCCCGCTGACGTGCCCCCACGGCTTTCCAGGGGCGACGCCCGGCCGGGAGAAAGGAGGGTACCCGGACTCGATCAGCAAGAACCCCTCGGAGGAGGGGCGGTTGGCTTCCCCCGAGGGGTCTTGTCTTCGCCGTCGGAGTCGTCGTCGCCGCCGCCGCCGCCGCCGCCGCCTTCGTCGTCGTCGTCGTCGTCGTCGTCGTCGTCGTCGTCGTCGTCGTCGTCGTCGTCGTGGTCCGTGGCATGTTGGCCCAAAATGACTGCACCGCAGGGGCTCCGCGCCCCTGTGCCAGAGCGGAGGCTGCGAGTCCGCAGCAAGCCTTCCGTGAGACTTCGGCGCGGGAGCGACCTTCCATGTCCAGCGGCCGCGTCTCGCCATGGCTCCGCCTCCTCCTCGCGACGGCGGCGGCGCTTCTGGCGAGAGGCGCAGCACCCAACAGTCGAAGGCCGTGGCGTTCGGCTGGGCCGCGGTGGCAGCAGCAGCAGCAGCAGCAGCAGCAGCAGCAGCAGCAGCAGCAGCAGCAGCAGCAGGGAGGCGAGCGCTGTCGGCAAGCTTTCTGTCGGAAATGCGGCACGTGGCTTCTTCGAGGGCGGCTCGCAGCACGATCAGGAGGGGAAACAAAACACACTGACACAATTGATCGTCGACTCCCAGGAAAATAGGAAACTATGGGAAGTGGGGGGCAAGACAAAGACCCAGAAAGCATGGGGACATTTGGGGAATCCTGGGATTTGTGTGTATGTATTTGTGTGTCCCTGGGCCCCTTCAAGCAGAATCTTTCACGTGCAAGTGCGGCGCAAGGGGGGGTCGGAGTCTCCAGGAGGATCGGCTGCAGCTCGACGGGTTCGCGACCGAGACGACTGGGACTGGCCAGTCTTTGGGGCTGGCTACGGTAAGCGCAGGAAGCAGTACCGCCCTGGTGGCGCAGGTCAAGAAGCCATCGAGCACACCAGCCACTCGAGGAAATCCCCTTGGCCAAGCCGCTCGAGCTCGCATCGGCTGGGGGCGGGCGACAAACAGAAGAGCTGCATCAACGAGCTGCTGGCAGGAACAGCTCCACTACTGCTAGCAGCGCAGCATCGGCCAGGCACGAGAGCCGTTCTCCGTGCAGCAGAAAGTCGAGTGTAACAAGGCACAGACGCCGCAACCGATGGCGTATCGTCATTTGGAGCTGCTACGAGAGGTATTTCACCAAGCAGAAGCAGATCTGGCACAACGCCGCGCAGAGGTGGCCGCCCGCTCGGAGGAGCAGCAACGGCAGCGGATTGCAGCTGGTCCCAGCGGCCCCTTCTAATCATCGGTGCCCTCTTGGAGGACGTGGAGACGGACTTGGACCTGGGGGCCCTGTTCGAGATCGGGGACGCCGACATCAGCGAGTCGGACAAGGCAGATATCGAGAAGCGGAAGGGAGATTTCGTCGGAGCGGCGCAGGATGCGGCGAAGCAGGTCTTCGCGCAGGCAGCGGGGCAACTCAAGCAGCAAACACATCCGGATATGGAGCTCATGGGGCGGATCCATAAGAAGCGGCGAGTGGAAGAGCGTCCAGTCCTAACAACGGAGCCGCAGCCTGTTCCCGCGGGGGCGTCGGCTTCAGTCGGCGGCGGCGGCGGACGAGCAGATGCGCAACCTGGACAGGCAGTCCCAGTACAATCGGCAGCAGAGGCCTTACAAGGCCCCCTCAGAGAATGCGGCCAAGGATAATGAGGAGCTTGCAGCTGCTGTGGAGGTGGCCCGCGCGAAGGGCGCCGAGAAATGGAGGGGCGACCCGCTCATAACTACACCGTCAACATGGACAACTTCTCGACCTAGGGGCAGACGTTGAGGACGATAGTCGACTCGCTCAAGGGCGACATGTTCATCTTCCCAGAGACGCACGCGGGGGTGTAGGGCAGCCGCGAGATCCTGGAACGCCTTGATAACAAGGGCCGGACGACGGTGGCCATGCCGCCCAAAGGAAGCGGCGCAGTGAGCTTGCAGGCGGGATCGGGTTGGCAGCGCGATCGCACCTTGCGGTCCAGTCGTCACGGCACCTCGCGGCCAAGAAGGAGCAGGCCGTCGAGCTGAGGCAGCTGGGCGAGGATTGGCCGTACTTGCCGATAGACTTCCAGGACGCCGCGTGGCGGTGGAAAGGGACGCTCCATCCTGGTGGTTGGCACTTACCTCACATCCTCCATCGGGGTGCGGGGCGAAAATCAGACCAGCTTGGCTAGGCTGGCGTCAGTCGCCAGGGGGCATAGCGGCCCATGGGTTGCGGTCTGCGATTGGACCGCGGAGTCGCGCGAGCTGGAACAGTCGGGCTGGCTGGGCGTTCTCGGCGCGGGAGTGCGCGCGCCGGCGGGCGTGCGGTGCGCGTGCGCGGGGGGCCTCGCGATGATGCTGGCCTGCGCGCTGTGCTCGGGGTCCCCTCCGGTTCGTCCTGGGGGGGGTGGTGCGGGGGCGGGTGGGCCCGGGCGGCTTCTGCGGTTTGTGGTTTCGCTTGCGCGGCGGAGGCGGGGGCGGCGTTGCAGTGCGTGCTGCGCCTCCCGAAACCGCTGCCTCTGCCCGACTTACTGAAGAGGAATGCGTGCCCCAGCGGCGAGGGATCCGAGCGCAAGCATAATCAGCAACAGAGCTTCAACGAGGAACTCGCGAGCGCAGCGGGAATTCGGTGTCGTCGCTTCTAGGCGCGACCGACAGCGGTAGGTTCGATCCCGTCCGATGCGAGAACCTTCCAAAGGAGTGCCAGGTCGTGGACGAGGTTGCGCGCGACCTGATAGGCGGCTTCGAGTCGAGCGAGGACGACGGCGAGCTCGGCGATTGCGGCGAGCAGGAGACGAGCGCGGCCTGCCCCCTCAGCTCAGCAGAGGTCTTCAACATCCCAGAGGACCAGCGCGACGTTTCCCGGCTGCTCACGTTCGACCAGGCTGTGCGCGGGGGCCGACGGGCGCGGGGGGCGCCGCCCGACTGCGTGAGCGAGATGGCGGCGTGCCTGTTGTTTGACCCGGGCGGGGCCGACGAGCTGGGCGCGCGGTTCGGTGCGCGGGTGCGCGCGACAGAGCAGTGCTCCGCGAGCGCGCTGATGGTGGGACCTGGGAAAAGGAAGAGGTTCCGCGGGCGCGCCGAGGTCTGCTTTGCCGCGAGGGCCGCCAGGATGAGCGACAACATGGCGTCCGACCAGGGCCCGTCCATTGCGTGGTAGGGCACGCTGGCGTCCTGCCTGGCCGAGTTGCAGCGCTGCGGAGGGATGGGGGCGCAGGGGCCTGATGCTGCTGTCGAGCTGTGCGTTCATGAGCGGGTCCATGCTCAGCGGCGGCGCCGTCGAGATGACGGGCAAGCAGGGGGCGAGTGGCGTGCGACCTTGAACGAGATCGGCAGCCTGAGTTGCGGGCCGCTCCAGAGTCTCGGAGCAGCCGCTTCTGGCCGCGGCGCGGCGTGGGGGGCGCGCGAAGATGCAGGGGGCGATGATCGCGTGCGCCAGTTGGGTGAAGAGGGGCAGGGGGCGGTCGGGGTGGCAAGCTGCGCGGGAGGGGGCGCGACATGCCGAGGTGCGACAATGATGGCAGGAGTGCCGGTTCGACTCCCTCCAGCATGATTGAGCGCGCGGGCGCGAAGGGCGCGCGCTGGAGCAAGACGCGGGCCAGTGACTGCGCGAGGGCCGCCATGTTGGACGGGGGATCGCCGGAGAGGCGGCGCAGAAGGGGGGTCTTGGCCGCCGACGTCGCGACCGACAGCGTGGCGAAGAGCAAGGCGACAGGCTTTTCGCAGCTAGGGGTGCTGGCCCGCTTGCGGCCGCCACCTGGCGCGCGAGGAGCTTCTCGGCATCGTCGTGAAGGTCGAGAGCTCGGGCGCGTGGACGCGGCGGTTGGCGGTCGCGCTGGCCAGCCTCCTGCAGGATGGCGCTGGCGGAGGCCGAGCGATAAGGTTGCTCTCCGAGGTGGTGCAGATCTGGCCCGAGATCAATAGCGAGTGCGCGAGCGAGTGGGCGCGGCACGTGGCGGGCAAGTGGGGCGCAGCGGTCGCGTGCAATAGCGCTTCCAAGGAGGTTCTTGTCAGGTCCTTCGCCAGCGAGTTGCTGGGGTGGGTGCCCGTGGAGATAAAGTCAGTCACCGCGCTGTTGGGCCTGGCAGGTATCCGCGACGCGCTGGGGCCCATCGTGATCATGGCCGAGGGGTCTGGCTTGGGGCCCCAGCCCGCGCTGTGGACCTGGAGATCCTGAGCTACTTGGGTGCGCGCCTCATCGGGGGGAGGGCGGCCCGCGCGGGACTCGTCGCCCCCAGCAGGTCGATGCGCAGGAGCGGAGAGACATATGGCGTCGCTTTCGGCAGGGTGGCTCTCTGCGCGATTCTGGAGAGGGCAAGCGACAAGTTCCCACAGGTCCTGGCGCGCTCGCGGGTCGACGACGCCACGGCCAGGATGGAGGGATCGAGGCGCAAGGTGGCCAAGCAGAGATCACATGCAGTGTGGCATCAGCTACAACGCTGCGGTCAGCTTGTGCGCAAAACGGCGCGCGCGTGCACAGCAGGGTTGTGATGCAGCGCATCTGCGGAATATCCGCGCCGTGGGTGGAGGTGGCCCTCGTCTCAAGTACAGTGCCAGGATTGCAAATGCGAGGGGCTCGCGCCGAGACACCAGCAATGCGAGAGAGGCAGGGGCACCTCCTAGTCGGAACCGTGGGGCGGGAGGCATGCAACCACAAATCTGCATTTTGAGGGCCACAGACATCGCCATGCCTAATCTGCCCAGGGTCGGCCAGTGTGGCGACACTCGGCCGCGAGATCTTCGGGGCGCCTGTGCTTCCTGGTTATTCGTTCGACCGAGATTTTCCCCAGCGATGCTCTCTCCTCCTCCTCCTCCTTCTCCTCCTCCTCCTCCTCCCGATATTGACATGGTTCAGTGCCGTCGC